AAAAAATGCCACAAAAGAACAACATTAGACCTGTGTAGCTAAAGTAAAGCCTGATATAGTGTAGCCTTTATTCTCAACAAGACCTTCCTTGTGGTTCAAAATCTATTAAAAACACATCCATGAGTCACACTGTTGTACCGGGTGAACTGTTTTCTTTATTACACTGAGCATTATAGTACTGTTGTTACTTGTGAGGGCAGTCAGCATATTAACAGATGAGTGCTGAGTTATACACTGCTCTGCACTGCTACTGTAGTTAGATTTATATATATGTGTGTGTGTATGGGAAGAACCATCGAGCTACAGAGGAAGAGTAGACTACAGCAACTGGGAGTAGGAGTAAACCTAGAGGGAGTCCAGGAAAAGTTTGTAATGCTCCAGATAAACAAAGAGATTCAGCATTCAGAGGAAGTATCACAGTTGTTTGTATAATTGCTTTCACTGCCAGAAGGTGGAGACATAAGTTCCACACTGCAGGTTTAACTACAGACAGCAAGTGTAACCAAAAAATGTCCCTGTAGAGTTTTCGTTTTGAATGTGATACAGGAGGGAAAAAAAGCAACTGGGTACAGAGACAAATTTTCATAACTATGATGTATGAACAAATCAACACTATTTACGAAATTAATCTGACAGGTCATTGAAATATTGTCACCCCATTTAAATATAACATTTATATGTTTTGCAACAGCTAATGAAATGAAGTATATGATAAGGTATGATTCAAATGTTCCTAAATCCTTTGTCCAGTTTAAACCCCCAATATATTCAGTCCACTATAATAGGGAGAAGAAAAAACAGAAGATATTTACTTTTTTTAGGCTGAAGCTTGTGCATTTTGCCTAAAAATATACAGAAATAATGAATTGATTCATAAAATTGTTGCCAATGAATCTTTCGTTGAAAGACTAATTCATGAATGAACTGATCCACTGATGAACCGTTTTAGCTTTGTTTATCTTTTCGTACAAAACATCCCATTTTTTTTCTACATTCTGCAAAGCTGTCAGATCTGTGCCCATTGATAGCTTTGAAACAGGCTGTTTTTACAGATTTCCTGACAGTGCGTCTGTGTCGTTAACAGGAACCAAAGAAAGGCTTGCTGTATGTCAACATATGCAGCTGGAAGCGTGTGCCTGCACCTCAGGATCCCAGCAGGCCTTTACCCGTGTATGCAGGGAAACTGGAAACAGGCACAAATGAAGGTTAAATGCATAACAAGCTGAACAACCAGCCTTTCTGTTGCATGATAAAAACAAGAATGCTCATAGTTTTTTTCTCCACAGGCTGGTTTGCTGTGTTGGATGTGGCTTTAAATCCGGCAGTGCTGCAGGAAAGCGAGAAAGAGCAAACTCACATTAACCAGGTTTATATGCTGGCCCTGAGCTTTGCCCAGCAGCAGCAGCATGAGATGAGGTTATCTCAGCGGTACAGTGTCATCAACTGCAGCCCAAAAAGTAGTCCAGATGAGCTGCACCGCCGGCTTGGGTTTCAGAAGTGGCCCAATTCCTCCAAACAACCAGACACAGGTGTAGCAATAAGTCTTTCACCACGATAAGCTGCTACAAGCCTTTTATGTTGGAACTATTTTCCCTTCCTGCTGAAGGTGAATTATCTTCCACCTTTTCCCACAGTTTCTAATAATCCATACTCTTCCTTTTTATAGCCGGTCAGACACCGGCTGCCCTCCTAAAGCAGATCTCCTCCCTGCGAGCGGAGAAACAAGAAGAGGACCCGGCAGCCCAAATTATCTGTACACCTGCAGAGCACATAAAGAAGGATTTGATCCAGGTCATCTCTACCACTTTTGTGGAGCCTCAGAAGCCAGAGTACCAACTTGAGGTGAAGACGGATACAGCAGGAGCTCCTCGCAGCATGGAGCTGACAGTGGAGCTGCCAAAGGTTTGCTCCATGTCAGAGTGCCAGCTGAGAATGTCTAAGGTTAGTGGTTACACACTCGCTTCAACAGTTATAATGAACCACTTTACAATCCAGCGTGTGATGTGCGTAGCTGGGTGTCATAAAAAATACATAATTGGCCCGTAGTGGGTCTTAAAGTGTGCTGAATGTATTTCTCTCCGCAGGATGACGTCTTACTGGAAGTAGAGGATGTTTACTATTTGCTTGTGGAGTTTCCAAAAACCGTAAATGAAGACACTGCATCTGCCATCTTTAATAAGAAGAAACGAAGGCTTACTTTGAAAGTGGATGTTTTGTGATCATTTGCCTAAATGGAGAAACAAGCGTACATAGAGGCGAGGAGTAAATTCTGACATCGAAAATACCTCAAAGTAAACAATAAACGCAAACAAAACGTCTTTTCATGTGATGGAAAAAGCATCGAGATCATATTATACTATGCAGGGACCCATCCGCTGCCTCAAAACTCAAGCCTACAAACAGCGAACAGCTGTCTGTAAATTGATCCATTTCCAACAGCAAAATGTTTTTGTAAAACAAATATGTAACAGTGTCCCTTTGTGCCGTGTGGGCTGATGTGCAGCAGCAAATTTTATTCTTCACCTAAAAAAAAAAAAAAAAAAATTAATTGACTTTAATGACAATCTGTGGATTTTGTTTATTAATGTGTGGGTGTATGAGTGGAGGTGTATAATGGCTAGGAGCTGGTGTACAGTGTCATTACTGTATGCAGGGGGAATAATTGACAACAAAATAATCCATGCAATAATTTATTAAAACATCAAAATTGATGCAGAACAACAACATCACAATTTGGCAATCTGGAACGTGTGAAAAAAATGTCAGTAAACACTTTTGTTTTAAGGTTTGCATACTATGCAGTGATTACAGCTTTTTAGAGCACAGCTTAGAGTGTGTTATTTAATGTAAAAGTAACATTCTTTTGTAATTCAGTTTCAAGTATCACGTCACTGACCCTTAAATGGCAGTCCCACATGTTAATTCATGAGCTGCAAACAACGTCAATATGCGTTCCGTCAAATAGAGCAGTAACCAAATGTCAAGTCAAATTCTTTATATGAAACATTCACTTTTAAAAGATGTATTGAAATGGTTTTTAGCTCCATTGGTCCCAGTTAATTGTATTAGAACTATTCTTTGTTATGGCATCACAAGTATTTTTCAGTGGATTCCTGTTCCAGTGGGAGTAACTGAGGTTTGTAGTGGTGATCTCTGGTTTTTTTGGGTTCTACCTCCGCTCTCCGTGGTCCTCTTCCACCCACGCTACGATCTTCCCTTCCCAGCCGGGCACAACTGCTCCATCCTGAAACACCTGAGCAGCCAACATCCAGCATTTACATATCTGAGAGACTCACATCTATTATGTACGATACAAAGGTCTAGATAGAAAGTGAAAATGACTACTCCGTGTTATCAAAATCTCTGGGATGGAAATAAGTCACCCCGTAGTGTTTTGAAGTATAGAGCAGGCACGGCTATTATTAGCATATCTTACTCTGTAACTGCCGTTTTACATTTGCCTGCTGAAGCTGATGTGAAAAGAAGCAGGGGCTATAATTTTACTCCCACGCCTACCTCCTCCTTCACTGTGCCAAACTCTGGGTCAAGGGCCTTGAAGTGGTATCTGAAACTGCCTTGTCTGTCTACCGCAGCCTTGAAGTCTCGCAGCGTCACCTCGCCCAGCCTGTAAAGCACACGCCAGTCAGTCATCATCTATGCACACATACATGCACACGAGCATTTTTCTAGAATAAACATTTAACCAGCCCAGCCACTGAAGCGTCCAAATATAACTCTATTCACGCATCAGTTCAGCTCTAACCCAAGCAGCAATTTGCCTAAAAATCATGCATGCTACAGTGAAGGAACAAACAAAGCCATAGCTATGTAATTAAGTGTTTTAATATTCACCTTTTTGGGATGTTAATCAGAAATGGAGTTAGCGAGCGATCGGTGAAATAGAGCACTTTAGTGGAGACGGCAGTGTCCAACCCCGGGCTGCTGTGGGAGTGCGCCATTTCTGGAGATAATTACAAACACAGCAAATATTGTTTTTTTTTTTCACAACCGGGGTCTGAAATTGCTCTAACCTCGCAGCCAATAATGCCCCCCTCCATACATAGCAGTGTAATTGAATGGCAGAATTTGATTTAACGGCCAGAGTTGAGATGTTGCGGAGGATGACAAATCCTAAACAAAACAAGGATTCTGTTTGTCTCACTTGAGCTCGGCGGCCAGGAGTCACGGTCTGTCGAGTTGGCTCTGCGTCCTGGTGATTTGAATTCCTCCTAGAAGAAGAAGAGGAAGAAGAAGAAGCAGTTACTCACGGTAAACACTCCGATGTCATGTTGTTGAGTCATCACTCATCAAGTGACAAGACGTGCTACTATTATTTTGTTGTTGTTGTTGTTGTTGCGTGGGAGAACGTATACCCCTCTGTCCTGTCTGCGTTGGGTGTCCAAAGAGTGCAATCGGTCCATGAGACTGGCCACGCCCTGCTCCAGGGTGTCCAGGGTGTGATGCTGGGGGTCGTGGCCCGAAAAACTGTCCCTCAAACTGCGTAGTGCTTCCCGGACGAGCTGCAGCTCTTCCCCCTGAGACAAACGGTACTTTGATTGTCATGTATGTAATATTGCTTTTCATTTCAGAGCAGTACAAAGTGTAAAAAAAAAAAAAGGGATAAAAATAGTCATGGTAAGTCATAATTAGGTGGTTTTGACTCATTATTTCAAAATGATATGTCTGGCACACAATTCTCACAATTTTAACCTAATAATTAACTTAATATCTAATATTTTTGAATTATTATTAGATTTTTTTGACATTGTGAGTCAGTGTTTTGGCATATCTTATGATGCTTATTATCTGATAATTATGACTTTTTATTCATATCTATACGAGTTAAAATGTTGGGTTAGCATCTCAATTGTGCCTCAGAACTAGGATAAAGTATATATTTTTACTGAATCTAATATTTTTTCCTTACTGTTTCAAAACGTCTGAGTTAGTTCCCCATAATGTAAGCGTTGTTTCTTTTCCTTTGAGATCCCCATACAACATCAACACAATAATCGGTAAGTCACATTTCTGATGAATTTAATAAAAAAGGGTACATACCGGCGCATTGTGTTTGAATGCTGGAGGAGATGTTGAAGCCACCGAGTTACCGTAGCCACCACTTTCACTCCTAAATGACTGTCAAACAGACAAAAAAATAATAATACATATGAATAAACCTGAGTGAGACTAATCTTTTAAAGTCTGGTGATATTCTATAACTATCTTATTACCAGAAAAAGCAGTACGAACGAACAAAACCAGACCTGTGCAGCTAAAGCAAAGCCTGATATACTGCAGCTTATTCCTCTGAATAAGAGCTTCATTGTTGTTCAAAATCTATTAAAAACACATCAGTGAGTCACGCTGTTGCACTGGGTGACATGTTTTTTTTATTACGCCGAACATTGTAGCACTGTCGTTTATTCTGACTCAATCTCACATATACCATCCCGCTGCAAGAAGTACTCACTGGTGCAAGAAATGTGTATTAATCTGCCGCAGAAAATGGTATTCCAACAAATGCACTATTCCCTCTACCTTGAGTAATGGTTTACAGTGTAAAGATTACAATGCTGAGATGCACCGGAGATGTCACTTTCTTATTCTTTACTATTTTTTTTCGAGCATTGTGTTGCCTTACTGCACAAGTGGCCCTTTCATTTTTTAACAAGAGGGAAAGTATGTGCCGCCTCGTGTGAATTACTTGCTAGCCATGTTTTAAAAGAGACTCTATAAATACCATCACCAGCGTTATGTGTGCGATTGCCATCCAAACATATACAGTATGTTGTGAAAACACTTGAAACATGTCATGCTCAGTACCCGTCCAAGGCTGACTTCGTGTGCTTTATGCTGAGCCTCGTCAAGCTTTTGTTGCTGTTGCTGCAGTATTCTGTCCTTCCTCCCGAGTTGCTGCTGTTGTGACAAGAAAGATGGATGACATAAGCCTTTATTTGCATGTGTGCAGCTAAAGAACGCGAGACGTGTAAATAATAAAAGACAATACCTCATATTCACTGAGTAATTTGTTCCTTTCACTCAACTTGCGTTTGAGCTCCGCCTGCAAGCAGATACATCAACGTGATATATGACTGTTACATTTCTCTTACGTAAAAGCTGCATCCACGGGTCACGCGGGTCAAATATTTTATCGTGTCAAACGGAAATCATCGCTTGTCTCACATTTTCCCCTTCCAGCTGATCTTTGGCCATGTTGCACCTCAGCAGCTCCTGCTTTAGCTGCAGCACGGCATCCTCCTGCACTGCCAAGCGCTGCTGCAGAGCATCCTAATGAGAAAGACGGGGGGGGAGATCAAAGACATGTCCAGAAAAGACCTGAATACAGATAAACTGCATCCACCTGCTTCGTCGATTGCATCCTCCCACTACTAAACTTTTATGTCTTTGTGAAGAAATAAAGAAGATATATTGTGTATGATGAAAGACATATAACTGCAGAATCACAAGTTTGGAAGAGTGCACATGTGGTATAGATTGAATTATATCCTTTAATCCATTTTAGTTCAAAATTAAAGTGCAAAATTAGAGTAAGAGGTTTACCTTGATGGCCTGAATGTGGCGCGTCTCCTGTTTGTGCCTCAGGAGTTCCCTCTAAGAGTCCGACAAATGAACAGAAACATTAGAAAAAGCGACTCCGCTCGTAAGGCGGCTCATCTATATTAAACCTAATTACATTTACTTACTGTACCTTGAGATCAAGGGCTTCCTCCATGCTTTGGTCCAGACGACTGCGGATTAGAACCTTCAAAGGGAGAGGGTATGAGCATGGTAATTAGAGAATGGAAAAATGTCAGAACGTATGAGGAGGCAATGGGCCTGCATGACAGCAGGCTAGCAGATCAGAGAGATTCATTTGTGCGCTACATTGGCCACTCTTGAGAGCAGTGATGGCTGCAAACATCATCACAACAGAAGGGCTGACGCGGACACTTCACACAGAGTGGCGAGCAAGTGTGGTTTTCTCAAGTTAGCAGAGAGAGGGCACTGTACCAGCTGCTGTTCAGCGTTAGCCCGGCTATCTCCGAAGCTCACGGATCCATCCTGGTCTTCCTCGGGGAGGGAGCCATGGAGCAGCAAAGCCTGAGAACAAAGGCACACACATAAAGACGCACAGACTGACGGTCTGTCAGCACTCATAACTAAACATGCATTGCCGATATATTTTTGTGTATTCGTTAATATAGCAGTTGTGTATTTTTATACGTGGCATCAAATATTGCATCGCAGCTGATAGTCACATGAAAAAGCCTGCACAAGTACACATAGACTTTAAAACTTATATTTAGAAGTGACAGCATAAAGTTTGTAATTAGCGAGAAAGGCTATTTCTGTAAAAGTCACGAAACACATCTATTTTAAAATCTCTGCACAGTGTGTCAAGTTGTTGTTTCTGCACCACCAACTATAGCTAAATACAAGAATGACACCATACCTGCCAATAAATTGTCTTTAATTAATGGCAAATAGATTTCTCTCTCTTTATCTTAAGTTCTGGTCCACTGCATCATTCAACATGTTTGATTTATGAATCAAACATTTAACAATTTAACATATTTTAATGTATTATGCTTGATTATGTGCTGTTATTGTAATTATTAACTCTGACCTGAAATATAACCATGCAACTAGTATAAAAGAGAAAAAACACCCCACAAAATTAACACACACATAGCTTATTGAAATATGCAAGTATGCATGTCACCAATCCATAAAATAGAATGTTTTACGATTATTACAATAAAATCACAAATTATCTGTAGATTTTACAAATGTTCAAAATATCACAAGACAAGGCAGTGGTATATCTTATTAGGTGCTTGTATTAGGTAGCAGTATCTAAGACCTCTGCAAATTAAAATGATTTAATTGCATTAGAAGCAACGGGCTAGAAACTTAATCATTAAAATTAAAGATATAAAATTGACAACCGCTACATTGATTTTTCACTATAAAGATACACAATAGATGGTCTGCCTGTAGATGATGTTGTAGACATTTGCAACAGAGTGATATTGATGTGAACAAATAGATGTTCTGTAGGTTTGTCTGATAAAAAAAGACATCTAAGTGCCTTTAGGTAGCAACTTCATTTATCTCGAGTCGATGACTTCATTCTTCGGATACAGTTTTATTTATTTTGTTGACATCTTATTATTGTTATATAACCTATTTGAGACACTGAAAATACAGCAGGTGTGGGCAGACAACCAGAAGTCTAAAACCAAGCTCAAATCTTACTGTATGCTGAACTGCAACCTTCCTCTGAGGCATCTGTAGTCTGTATACCTTCAGTCAATGTTTTCAAAGTAGCTGTGCAGTTTGTTTTATAGTGTGTCATCACCAGGACTTACCTGTAGGCGGAACACCATCCGCCTGGCCTCCTGCATCTCCTTCTCCAGCTGCTCCTGGTGGGCATCCAGCTGCTCCTCCCAGGACTTTTCTTCCTCCTGCGCATCCTGCCCGAGGGAGGGACACAATCCACAGAGAGACACCTCCTCTGGAAAGGAAGTGAGGAAGAAAGGGAGATGAGGCAATGGAGCTTTTCTTATTTTGTTTTGTTTGTTTTTTTTCTTTCATTGCATCCTATCTGGCTTTACAAGAGTTGATGTGCAGCCAACCAACCTGTGACAGATTTCTTCTCTGTCAGCTCAGATTTTTCATCCTGAGGTTCCCTCTGGTTCTCAGACTGATCGTGGACTGTTTCCTCTTTAGGGGTGTCAGTGGACTGGGTGATAACATACTCCTCTTTGGGGGTGTGAGCAGGGCTGGCTGAGCTGAGACTGAAACAGATGGTGGGCACAGGAAGGAATGAATGTGTTTGTGTCCTGCCAAATGCACGGCAATAAATAAACCTAGCAACATAAAATGGAGATATACACTCCCGAAGGAGCATAAAAATGTCAATTAATCCCATCTGGGCTAAATATTTTAAACCACATCCGTTTCCTAACATATAATGCCCATAGGAGCATGAAGTATGGCAGAGTATTTTGCAAATAATTGAATTAAGAAAAAAACAGGAAGAAACAGGTTGGAAACCTGTTCAGAAAATACACACTGGGAGCAGGAATGCACACAACTCTGTCATTTTCCCACAGGAAATTCTTTGCATATTTTTCTCCCCCTTCAGCCACAATTTCAAAACATAATGTTTGCATGGTTTGTGAATCGCTGGTTTTCTTGCTGCTTTGATGATGAATATATGTTTTGTGCTTTCTGAGAGCTTCTGCAGCCTCAGGTTCAGGCCAGCTGTCATCTTCATTCTGCTGTGTTGGTAGAAATAGGATGGAGCTACTGTGACCTGCGACCTATGGCATTATGCATGGTCCCTGAGCGCAGGATTCCTTCGTCCCACCCCCCACGTCTGCGTGTGAAAACAAGCCTGTGATTGCAGAAACAGATCTAAACTCTGTGCTAGGCCATAGAAAAGCATCACGATTCATCATCCTGCTCCTGAGGCTAAACAACTAAGAAGGAAAAATAGCTGTGGACCAAACTGTGGGATAAAACTGTGTTTAGACCCAAAGAATGTCCTGAGGGATTGCATTTGCACGGTTGAACTTGTTCTTCCCATACATATGGAGCGAGACTTAGATCGTAGTCAATGAGATTTTCTGCTTATCTAATAGCATTACTCAGCACAAGCTAATATCACAGCAGACAGCAAACACTTGTATCATTGTCACTTTGGCGTTCACCCTGCCCCTGTGTGGCCAAACTGTGCACAGATTCATGTGACAACTTATAATAACGCTCTGCTTCTCAGCCACTAAACAAACAAGACTAAAACGATCCGTAGCAGTGCAGATGTGAAAACCTGAAGGTAAAAGCTGGATATATGCAAAGCGCCACAAATGACAGTATCAGTTATAACATGCTGATGTTAAGCAGGTGTAGCACTTAACATTTTCATCATTTTAGTTTAGCAAGTTTGCAAGTTAATGTTTGTGGGCAGAAAAGGAACACAAGTTCAACTGAGGCTGATGTGGATGTTTTTAAAGGGTATGAGTCATAAACAAAAGCATCAGACAAATTAGAATTTTTGTCCTGATGAGCTAAATGAAAAGTCAGAGGCTCACCAGCATTGTTAAAACTTAGCCTGAGGGGTGCATGAATGTGTATGTTCCAAATTTCATGGGAGCCCACCCAATAGTTGTTAAAACATTAACCTTTTAGAAGCAACAGAACAAAGGTCAGGGGATCACCAGACATGAGGGCTGACAGTGTGGGCACCGTGCAGATCTGCAGCACATTTCTTGGCCAATTATATAATAGATGTTGAAATATTTTTCAGTACAGACAAAAGTAATTAACTGACTCTTCCGGTGCCAGTTGAGCTGCAAAGATCAATCGATTAGTTGTGGACTATTAAATTAATTAGAAACTATTTTGATAATCAATTAACCATTTGGGAGAAAAAAAGCCTAAATTGTCTATTTAAGCTTCTTAGATGCAAATACTTTGTGCTTTCTGTCCTCCTCCATGATATTTGCTAAATTTCTTTTGGCTGCAGACAAAACAAGACGTTTGAAGATGACCTTTTGGTTTGGGACACACTGATCAGATTTTTCAACATTTCATGACATTTTTCAAATCAGACAACTTATTGATTAATAGAGAAAACAAGCGAGAGATTAATCAACAATAAAAACAATCATTAGTTGCAGTCCCAGTTGCTAGCATGCCAGTAACAGGAGCCTGAGTCAAGCGCCTATGACCGTCCACATGCTGTGATGTTGGACATGGGTGATGGGGGACATGGTCACAGGATACAAGGGGTTGTAAATTGACTTTTACAGCACTTATTTTGGGATCTGATTGGTTTAGTGGGGATTTTAACTGAGGTGATGCTGTATCCCACTGCTGTTTCCTACTGGCCTGTCAGATCAAAACTAAAGTCGTAGTCTCTGAAATGAAAGCCCTCTTTTTCTTGGTCCAAGGAGATTTTTTTGGACCTTGAGGGCTACCTGCAAACACCTTCAGAAAAAATGAACATGCAACAATAATCTATGCACCTTTAAGCCTTTTTTTAATTTATTTTTTGAGTGAAAAAATACAAAGATGTGAGTTAAATTTTTAATTTCAGAAAACTGGGCACATTCGCCATGCTGAGAAACATCTAATAGTTTGGTCCTAACAGCCCCTCAGAAAGAGTCACTGCACTGGGTCACAAAAAAACATGAACAGAGCGCCTTATCGGATGCTGCTGTAATTATCCTTAAGTGTTTTTCCAAAGGGGATCAAAGAAGCTGCCTCCCACTAATCTTGTCACTTCAGCTGATGACATTATCGGGATACCCTCTATCATTGTCTCAGGGAGCAGTTCAATGAAGTCTGACAAATATATATTAGATGCTCACTGCCGATCAGTTGCACCACGAGAACACACGCACACACACAGACACACAGATTTGGAACATATGGGTTAAGCCAAAGATTAAGCACTGGGATTTACAAAAGATGAGCTTCAGTGCAACAGATTAACAACATCTGATCAGCAGTGCTGGAAAGTTACTGAGTAAATTCACCCTAATACTGAAATGTAATTTTGCAGTACTTGAGTATTTACATTTTTTGGTTCTTTATACTGGGCTGCAAGGTGTGTGGTGGTTAGCACCGTTGCCTCGCAGGTAGAAGGTCGCCAGTTCGCGTCCCGGTGGGGGCATCCAGGATTTTTCTGCATGGAGTTTGCAGAACTCTCTCCGGGTTCTCTGGCTTCCTCCCACACAGTCCAAAAACATGTTGAGGTTAAATGGTGATTCTAAATTGTCCATAGGTGTGAATGTGAGTGTACTTGGTTGTCTGTCTCCAAGTGTAGCCCTGCGATAGACTGGTGACCTGTCCAGGGTGTCACCCTGAGTCAGCTGGGATAGACTCCAGCCCCCCCGTGACCCCAGTGAGGATTAAGCGGTGTATAGATAATGGATGGATGGGTTCTTTATACTGCTACTTTGCTGCTGTCTTTTACCTGTTAATCCTCTGCATTTGCTTGAACATCGCGGTTACTATTAAAGTAAATATTTCACTTTGAATAGCATATGATATTCTTATAGAAAAAATGTGCCACCACAGATTAAACCAGTACTTCCCAAACTTTTTTGGCTTGTGATTCCTTACTTAAGGACAAAGAATGACTCAATATTGCATAAAACAAAAACAAAAAAAAAACATTGATTTGAGAAGTAGAAAAACTTTAAAAACTGTGTTGCATAACTTTTTATCATTATTGTTATTGTTTTCTTCCCAGTTACCATCTCATGACCACTCAGATGTATCTTGTGACCCAGTGAGGGGGCCTAACAGCCAGTATGGGAGCCACTGGATTAAAATAGTACACAATATATTAAGTAATCAAAACTAATCTCACCTCAGCCTTATGCTGCAGTTAAATGCTGCCTATTAACAATCCAATAATGCCATATATAACAATATAACAGCCATAAGGGACATGTTTGATAGTCATAAGTACTTCAACCTTTGATGATCTAAGAATATTTAACTATTAACATGTAATAAATGTGATTTTCAATGCAGGATGTTTACTCTCAGTGGAGTATTTTTCACACCGTTGAAGTATATTTACTTAAGTATCCGAATACTTCTTCAACCATCAGTGATCAGCATGGAAAGTTTATATACTAACAAGTTAATATACGTAGAAGTGGTTGAAAATAGTTGCTAACAGTTGGTTTAACTGGTAAATATGGTGCAACATCGATGTAAACAAGGTAACTTTTTAAAATATGTTAATCCTTAAACTGTTGTCCTATTATATTGATGTGGGAAAAAAATGTTTCCTATCCTAATATCACTTAAAATCTATATTTTCATCTGAATCATGAAATGGGAGCACCAGTAATGGCAGTGGTTGCTAGGCAATAGCAGCTCAGCTCACACAGACACACACAGGGACACACCCACACCTACTGCACTGTAAACACCGAACAATAACCCGCTCAGTTTGGGCTTCAAAGTCATGTTGTTAGGGATGAAATGCATCTCTAAGACTAAAACTGAGCTACACAAGCTGATCAAGTGAATGAGATAATGTTCTGAATTCAGGCCCAGTGTATAGTACATATCTGCCATTGATTTGTGTTTGTATTGTCGACAAAAATAGCAGCCTGGATTGACAACATGCTACATAAAAAACAGCTCTTACCATTTCATCTGTTTGGCTCCCATGCTGGTGTTTACAAGCTTAACCTCCCATACAGTCGGCTCCCCGCATCTGGGTGATGCCCTGCTTCTCAGTCAGGACCATAGCCCAAACACAGCCAGAGGTAGCAGGGAGGGGAGCAGCCCTGAAAGCAGCAGCCGGAGGAGTCTCCACGTCGCACACTGTGTTCAATCAGAAATAACAGCACGTTCAAATCTTCTCCGGCAGCATATTCCTGAAACATTAAGCACCAAATCCTAATAAAAAGCCCCCAAAGCCTTCCCCTAAATCATACCGAGGCTCAGTCCTAGCTGGCAGACAGAGACGGGGAGAGACAAGAGGGAGAGAGGATTGGTGCTCAGCAGCACCAGCGACTGAAGTCTGCCTGGTTTCTCATTGCACTCGCCTTGTGGTTGAGCTCACCAGCTCCCATTCACGAACACAATGTTTTTTGTTCCTTGCGGACAAGAACTGATGCAGCTCTTGTGCATCTTTTTTTACCCTTTTTTCTCTGCCGGGCTTTTTTTTTGCATTTATTCCCTCCCTCCCTGCCTCCTCTTTCTCTTCTGCTTGGTCGCACTGGCTTTGTATTAGTCCTTCCTTCTTTCAGTGTGCGAGGATGTCAGACATGGCTCTGTCTGGGTGTGTTTACCCTCCCCCCTCTCCCTCATTCCTCCTCCTCCCTTTCCTCACTGCTCTCTCCTTTCACAAGGAGGAGGAGGAGTGAGATTTTCTCCTTTTTCTTCTCTCTCCTGTCCCTTTGCTTTCTCTGAACTGTAAATCATTGCACCTAAAATAAGAACTAATATATGGATGAAAAAAAAAACAGAGACATGAAAAGACATTGTTTTTTTTTTTTTTTAAATCCCAACACACAGCACAAGTCAAGTCATATGAGAGTTTTCTGATTTATCAACACAGTCAGAGGAAGAAAGGAGCTGCTATAGGAGAAAATGTTATTTATAGAATGGTCACATCAGCATACAATTACAACCCTTTTCCCATCATTCATTGCTGTCTCCCATATGTGGAGAACAACATTTTTACTGGAAGTGTATAAAAAAAGAAGGCCAGAAAACACACAAAAACACCGAAGCCATCAGTTTAAGTTAAAATGTATAAAGTGCAAGCATTATAATTTAAGCAGCAGGCAACAGAAAACAAAAAAATTTCCTCTGACATGTGCTGCTGGTGTTAAGTACTCCTTTGAAAGGCGTTTTGGCTGAGCACACTGTGATTAAGCTGTTATAAATGTTGTTGGTGTCATCAGCAGAAATGTGAAGTAGGTCTCTACGTGGCAGCTTGCAGTTCTGCCCAGAACAAAATGACAGTGTCTTAAATTCTGCATGAGCACCATCACCACACGCTTCAATGAGCTACTTTACTGTAGAGCCATGAATATGTATGTAAACCACCAGACTAATGCAGCATTAGATTTATGCAGAAAAGCACCACGGGCAAAGGCAAGCTGTCACACTGATGGAATAAAAGCAAAAATGTTTCAATCTGTTTGGATGCTTACAGGAAGTGAAAATTCTCAGTTCTTAAAAAAAAAAAAAAAAGACTGAGATAATGTTCTCATCCGACACTGGTAACATGTAAATACATACCTCTTCATTGGTATGTTATTTAAAACTACACTCTACTGCTTTTGTAGCTTAATTATGCCTACAAAATCTAATTTCAGTATAGGAACTTTTTTAGGATAGGTTCACAGTTTTGGTCATGTTTGTCTCAAAGCAATATTCACATTCACATAACTGCTTGCTGTAATTCCTCCTGTCTATACCATCCGTAAATACACTTCCTCCTCCTCATCCAGGAACTCACATGAGGCTTAAGAGTTAGACGAATAAAGTGGGTGTTGTTCAAAGTTATACTCTTTCAAAGGAAAAAAAAAAAAAACCCATGTGTGTTGCTATACTGTCATTGCGACTCAGAAAAGAAAGACAGTCAGTAGAAAATAAAAGGGGGAAGTTGTTACTACAAACACTGTGAGGACGCCTACCTGATTTGTCAAGCGCTGTCCCCCCGGTTCTGACATCAGAATGATGTTTGGAGGGGATCTATTTACAGCCAGTATGAATAGGAAGAACAATTAAAGCGACAAATAACTCTTCTTTTGTTGCCTGCAAATTACACCCTCACAGATTGCTAATTAATTGAGGTGATGTAAATCTTTTCTTTTGCCTTATGAATAGATGCCAACGGATATTCTGAGTAATTATTTTTGGATTTATTGTAATTAATCAGATGATGATCATCTGTGATAGAAGGCAGGGGTGGGACCGAGTCTTGGTCTCTTCAGTAAACATTAATAAAAACATGCAGAACAGGGTGCTGGTACAGTCTTTGAGTGTGTCACAGTCTGTTCTTTGAACTTCTTTTGCACTGCCCCACCTTAACAAGGCTCTGCTTCTTGAAGGACAAGTTTTAAGCAGTCCAAATCATAAAACTGCAGCTGCTGATCCAGAGTCCTGATGAGGAGGCACAGTGCAAAAGAATTAAAAGAACAGGTCCCGACAACCCCCT